CCCATACACACTAACTCACACAATTCCCCATCCGCTCCCTCTCGCTGTCTCTCCTTCTCCCTCAGCAAGCGTCCTAGTCTCCAGGTCTGGGCTTTCAAAACCAGTATGGTTATCAATCACTGAGCCGGTTCTGTCAAGTCGACCCAAACCGCTCATACACCCACACACACACACGTACACACACATAGCTCCTCTCTTCCTCAATTTCCTTCTCTTCTTCTTTTCATCTCCCATCTCTGCTCGTCTCTTTGTCATCCCATCCCTCCATCTCTTCCATCGTGCGTCCTCTGCCTCCTCTCCTACACTTGCCCAAATTTGTTCCACTTAATAAGCCCTCCCCGATGACCTTGCACTAATTAAGCTGCACTGTGTTGGAAATATGATGGTTAATTAATGATGAGATAAATTCTGTCTGCAGGACTGTCAGAAAAATGATGACACCAAGTTTTACAGGTTTAAATAGAACAAACCTTGTGGCTGTCCTCTCTCAAAGTGTGTGTGAGACAGAGAATATATCTGCATGCATATCTCTGTGTGCAGTGACAGAAAAGATCAGATTGAAAACTGGCGGTCACTTCTGAATCTCTTTTGATGGTCATTTGCAGAAACAGTACAAAGAGCAACGAGGAAGAAGCGGATATAGAAAAATAAAAATGTATATGGGATAAAAAGAATGATTCAGTGAAAAAGTCTGACCAACAGCCCTGCTTCTCCAGAGAGAGAATTAGAAAGAGTTGAACATCAGTTCATCTTCAAAGCAGAGAAATCACAGATTCTTTGGTCGATTAAGGTCAGTGAAACTCCAGAAGATTTCCCGCACTTTCTATGAATTCACATAATATTTACTGTGGAGCCTAAAGCCTTGCCAGTGGAGCCAACCAATCAGAGCAGGCATCTTCTTCAAATTGTTTTGAATTTGTTAGGCAGCAGTTACTGCGATTAAAAAGGAAACTAATCCACCGTATTTCTACCCACAACCGTAGTTCAACTAAATTTTAATTCTTTTGTTTGTATTTTTAACCAAACAATAATGAAAATCCGTCTGTGAAGGTAACCCCCTACCTCTATTATTCAAACCTAGAAAATGATAAAAGCAAACTACAGTTTACCTGAAACTAAATATGCCAGCATATGTAATCAGATTACTGTACATTTACATGTTTATATATTTTATCTCTTTTTATTCTTATTTTTTATCTTTATGTGTTATATAAAACTGTATCTGGAGCTTGTAACAAAAGTAATTTCCCTCTGGGATTATTAAAGTATTTCTGATTCTGATTTACTTGGCTATTCCTCCCAGTCTTTGAACAATGAAACTGTAGGCATGATCTTTTCTTTCATTTTTTTGTTTTTTGAGTTTTTTCGGCACTAGTGGCTCGTTTTACTGACAGTAGGCTCACAGGAAAGTGGGTATGAGAGAGAAGGGGAGAGAATTGTGGCAAAGGAACACAGGCGGGATTCGAACCCGGGTCGGCTACGTCGAGGACTGCACCTGCACTGCGCCACCTGCACGCCCCGCCATGATCATTTTAAAGGAATAGTACACCCAAAACATGATTAGCCTTCATTTTCTACTCACCCCCATGCTGAACAAAACTCTGGAGTACTTTTTTGATATCTCAAATGCATCTGGAGATCTGGGAGGCTTCTTGCTGTCTGCTGACATTCAAATAATGGAGGTCTATGGTGACCGAGACAGAAAGGTCCATAAAAGTCCACAAAAAACGTGTCAATATTCCTCCATACTGCTCGTCCAATGTATTCCAAGTGTCCTGAGTGGGTAGCATCCAGAATTTACTCGAAACGAAGTCATTTAGAATGTTTTTAGAGCATAAACAGTAGTGTATAGGATTTCCTGAAAGCGCGCCTGCGCGCTCACGACGCTACGGAAGCCGGCAGACCAAACCAGCGCATTCAGCTCGGCAAAGAACTCATGCTCTTCCTCAACACTGAAGTCCTCAGACATTTTTCTTTCGTTGTTTCTTTCTTTGCACAGGTAAACAGCACATTTCTTCTTCTACGCTTGCATTATTGGCAGAGCAGACGCTGAATGCGCACTTTCATCTGGCTTGGTCTGCCGGCTTCCGTAGCGTCGTGAGCGCGCATGTGCGCGCTTTCAGGAAATCCTATACACTACTGTTTATGCTCTAAAAACATTCTAAATGACTTCGTTTCGAGTAAATTCTGGATGCTACCCACTCAGGACACTTGGAATACATTGGACGAGCAGTATGGAGGAATATTGACACGTTTTTTGTGGACTTTTATGGACCTTTCTGCCTCGGGCGCCATAGACCTCCATTATTTGAATGTCAGCAGACAGCAAGAAGCCTCCCAGATCTCCAGATGCATTTGAGATATCAAAAAAGTACTCCAGAGTGTTGTTCAGCATCGGGGTGAGTAGAAAATGAAGGCTAATCATGTTTTGGGTGTACTATTCCTTTAATGTCTAAAATAATTTTTGTCTGTTTAAAATCTTCAAAGATGTTCTGTTAAAAGGCAAAAGATTTATTTCTTGCTTGTTGAACCATGAAAAGTAAAAGCCCAATGTGCCGGGAGTGGAAAAAAAGGAAAATCTTTCGGCAACCTGTTAGAGGAGTAAATGTTAAAGGATCCTGACTGTGGATAAAACAGACCTGTAGCAGTCATCGGGAGACGTTCTCATCTAATCGAGAGCAGCAGCTGACAGTAAGAATTTAGCTGATAAAGTCTGAAAGATTGAAAGGTGTCTGGTCGGGCCGCTCACTGCTATATCTGAAACTACTTGTCATGTCTAATACAGCATGTTGTCAAACGTATCAATTTAGGTTGTTGAGTATTGAAAAAAAGGGATCTGTTTCTATTTTAGCAGCTCGCTTGACAGATTGAGAGGTGTTTAACGTCTCGTTTATGCTTGTCAGTGTTCGGGGAGAGGGGGGCTTCACAACTTCATCTGCTCATCTCACACACACACACAAACACACCCATTCTGACAGCAGGACTCTGTTTCTGATAGACAGGGCCGAGCCAGAGCAGCATTCAACATACACAGAAACCCCATGCTCACATCCACAGACTGAAATGGGAAAAGCAACATCATTCATCCTTAATTCAAGAGGGAGAGCAGAGAGGAAGATGAGGGAGAGAGCGAGATAAAGTTTGACAGAAAAAAAAAAGGATGTAAGCAAGAGACGGAGATAGACAGCAGACAGCCATTTAACTCATTAGGGAATGAGAGGATTTCATGTTATATTTAGCTGGAAATTTAACAAGTGGAGAGTTTGGGTTTGAAAGCTTGCAGATCTCCACAGCTTGCTGAAATCAGCCTCCAAAAACATGAGGCCATTTCTTTACAGTAGTCAGCAAATAAAATATAGACACACAGAGAACAGGTTTAACTGAGTTAAACTTTAAAATACAAAGTTCAAAAAACATGTAAACAACACAAAACAACTTCAATCAAATCAATTCTGTGAAATCAAACGATCCACTTAGGAAGCACCACAATCAATTCTACATGCTGTTGTGAAAACAGACAACAAGAGGAAATTATTGCCAATTAGCAAGACACACTCAATAAAGGACTGGTTCTGGAGGTGGGGACCACTGAGCACTTCTCAGTACCTCTGCTTTCTGGCTGATGTTTTGGTCACTTTTGAAAGTCGCTGGTGCCTTTACACTCCTGGTAGCATGAGACTGACTCTACAGCCCACACACGTGGCTCAGGCAGTGCCAGTGATGTGCCATCCAGGATGTCACATTAATGCGAGCTTGGATTGCTGTGTCCATCAGCATAGTGTCCAGAGACTGGAAGCGCTAGGAGGAGGTCGTAGGACGGTAATTACTCCGTAGCATGACGTTACCTCCACCTTTGTGCAAGGAGGAACAGGAGGAGTACTGCCAGAGCCCTCGAAAAGGACCTCCAGCAGGCCAAAAATGTGGATGTGTCTGAACAAACTGTTAGAAAGTGACTCCATGAGGATGGTATGAGGGCCCAATGTCCTCAGATGGGGGTTGTGCTCACAGCCCAACACCGTGCAGGATGCTTGTCATTTGCCAGAGAACACCAGGATTGGCAAATTCGCCACTGGCGCTCAGTGCTCTTCACAGATGAAAACAGGTTCACACTGAGCACATGTGACAGACATTACAGAGTTTGGAGTCACCACAGAGAGCGATCTGCTGCCTGCAATGTCCTTCAGCATGACCAGTTTGGCAGTGGGTGAGTAATGGTTTGGAGTGGCATTTCTCTGGAGAGCCGCCCAGACCTCCATTCGCTCGCCAGAGGTAGCATGATTGCCAGTTGGTACCAACACAAGATCCTCAGACCTCTTGTGAGACCAAATGTTGGTGCGGTTGGTCCTGGGTTCCTCCTAGTGCAGGAAGGACAATGCTACACCTAATGTGGAGTGTGTCAGCAGTTCCTGCTAGATGAAAGTTGGAGCTATAGACTGACCTACCCGCCCGGTCCCCAGACCTGAATCTGATTGAGCACATCTGGGACATCATGTCTCAATTCATCCACTAATGTCATGTTGCACCACAGACTATCCAAGAGTTGGCAGATGGATAAGTGGCATGCCCAGGCATCGTAGTGAGGTCATACATGCACGAGGAGGCCACACACAATCCTGAGCCACGTTTTGACTTGTGTTAACAACATTACATCAAAGCTGGATCAGCCCGTTATGTTTTTCAACTTTAATTTTGTGTGTGACTGTAAATCCAGACCTACTCTGGTTGATAAATGTGATTTTCTTAGATGAGTTTTGTGTGGTTTTGGTTTCAGTGCATTCATCTTTGTACAGAATAAGTATTCAATGACAATATTTCATTCATTCAGATCTAGGATATTTAATTGGAGTGTTCCATTAGTTTTTTTGAGCAGTATATATTCTGAAATCTCTTCATATTTCCCATCAACTTTAAACCAAACGGCCTAAAGGATGTCTGATGCTGAATATAGACTGACTGATAAAAAAGAATAAAAAGCAGACAGTTGCATGTGTTTGATTTACCTTTCTTTACGCTGCCCGACTCCGTGTTTTCCCAGCAGGTGGGTATTGAGGTGTTTCTTCATCACAAAGGCCCATCTACAAAAACAAGCATAGATGCAGCAACAGAGTTAACAAAGGAATATAATCAATCTTTCCTGGAGGATCAAAGCCAGAGCTTCGTGATAAAAGACTAAAACAAGAGTGCTCAGTAAGCGCATCATTCACCAAGGTCAAACATGTGTGTTGAAATGTCAACCAAAGTGATAATTTGGTTTGATCTCTTTGAAATTTGCCAAAACTAAATTACAGCAAATCCATTGCTTGGGTTCCTCTAATTCTTCATAAGAAAATTGCATTTTAGCAAATATTAATCTGTTTCTAAAACACGCACTTCTTAAATTGATCTATTAAAGGGAAAGCTCAGCTTTTAGTGTTTTTTTTTTTAAGAGAGTGGTTATTTTAGTAGTCTTTTGAATAATCAAATGGCGAGTAGATTTAGATAATTTTCCTCTTGATTGGCAATAAACTATGAGTGGCCAAATACATAAAGATCATTTGTCAGGAAGTCGGAGAAGCACAGTGGTGTTACAAGCTAATTTAAAAGAAAGCAATGCACCAATAATTGAAATAGATACACACAATAATAATGTGCTGAATGTTCAAAGCTCTAAATATAGTTTCTGTAGTTCCTGTGTGCCTTTAAGTAGTCAGAATTGTTTGGCTAAATGAAACAGAGCTTATGTCGGGCCACCCTACCACTGGAGCTACTACGAGCATTCAGCATGCTGAGGTGAGCAAGTTTAGCAAGTCAGTGTAGATAGCAACTGTAAAGCTTTGCATGAGATTACGTAATTATCCCTATTGGGTCATTAGTAGAGGGGATGGATTGCACTTTTTCCAAATTCTACCACAGCAGTACGGGTGGATAAAATGTATAGAATCTCCATAGTTTTTTTAGCGTAAAAAGACAGCTACGGTAGTGATCAATTCGTAAAAGACGAGCAGTGAGTCCGTGTTTTTCTTCTGCTGTCCATGATCTTCTTCACTTCATGAAGAAGAAATCCCTAGAACAGAGTTTACCTTCTCTTTGGGCTTGTTAAGCTTCTTTATATCATTTACTCTAATGATGTTACAACAAATTAAACATATGCAGCCTCTTCAAACACTGAAGGGCCTAAACTTCCATACTCTGTCCCTTCTTGTAGAAGGCTTCACCAGGATATTTATATTCCTCCACCACCTGCACTTATTCTCCCTTGATGTTAACAGGAATGAATTTGTTCCTGTTTCTTCTGAAATCTACAATCATCTCCCTTGTTTTGTTGGCATTCAGGATCAGATGATTGCTTCCATACCACGCCATAAAGCAGTTCACCAGCTCCCTGTACTCAGCTTCTTTTCCATCCTTGAGGCACCCGATTACTGCAGAGTCATCTGTGTATTTCTGTAGATGACAGGACTCTGTCTGGTATGGAATGGTGAGAATACAGTCCCCTGTGCTTCTAATTACTTGATTAGACAGCTGACCCTTCAGTCCAACAAACTGTGGTCTATTTGTGAGGTAGTCTATGATCCAGGTGATTGTTGATGCCTCCGCCTGAGCCCTCTGGAGGTTTTCACAAAGTAAGACAGGCTGAATTGTCTTAAATGCAGTGGAGAAATCAAAGAACGTGATCTTCACGTCTAAATAACAGGTGGTTTGTTGAAGTATGATAGCATCTTCAAATCCAGCACCATGGTGATAAGCAAACTGCAGGGGGTCCTGAGAACTGCTTGTTTGCTTGTGCAGGTAGACCATCAGTCTTTCAAGAACTTCCATGTTGTGGGATATCAGGCAAATATAACTATAGTCGGTGAGGACAATTGAACTGAGGTTCAGAATGAAGCCTGCAGAGCTAATCCAACATGCAGCAACTTTGAGCAGCGCAATTTTAGAATCAAGTCTAACCCTAACCCTATTATTCAAATGGATCCTCTCTCCCCCCAAAAAAGCTTGAATGTGAGTTTTTAATTATTTGGTAGAAGTATGGGTATAGATACCTGGAGACAGAGTGGCGACCTGTCCAGGTTGTATCTCGCCTTTCACCAACAGCTCTACCGTGACACTGAGGGAGGGTGGGATGGATTGATGTATTGTCACACCCCTGCCACTAATAAACTCAAGCAGACTCCATCTAATTTGCCCATCTAATACCCACACATGTGAAAAGGATTTCAATGCACATGTATCTGCTGAATATCCAATAACACGCACATAGTCAAAACCCACCAGAGTAGCATAGCTTGAAAGTGACCACAACATCCGGACGTTTTGGAGCTCCCTGGGTTTACCGTGTCTCTAAAACAGCTTATGAAAACATAATGAACGGATGACAGGAATAACTACTCTGACATCCAAGCTGCTTCACCAGTGTTTTCATCCCTTGGCCTTTTCATTTAGCAGCAATCACTTTGCATTATTGTGTCATGGAGTGACAATGACCACATCTGAGAACCGAGGAAGGCACAACATGAAACATGAAAGCAGGCTGGGGACTTGAACCAGCAGCTGCGCGGCTGGCACTGTCACTGCACTAACTCAGTCCCTCCCTTTTTCTTCTTTTCTGGATGTTTTTAGTTTTCCTTCCTTCAAGTCAACCGTTGTTCTATTTTCTTTCCGACTTTTGAAGCTTTCACTCTCCCTCTGTAGTTCTGTTTTGTGAAGCAAAAGCATAATTATTTCACCGTTTTTGTTGCTAAACCAGCCTTTGGTCCCCCCCACCCCCAAGATTTGAGGGACACACATGAACACAGTTCTGTTCTCCACGGCCCCGGAGTCCTGTCCGTCATTGCGGCCCCCGAGGCCAACTCTAACTAACACCATCACATAAATATTCAAACATGTTCCACTGTTTTGCCTCATTATCATCACTCTAGATCTCTGCAATCCTCTCTAACTCAATCCATCCACCCATCCATATTGCCTCAGAGTTAAACTAGGAGCAAGCACACAACTAAATCTTGTACATTCCAGTCAGGGAGACTGGCAAGATCAAAATGCTGGGCTTCTGTGGCCTGCTTAAAGCGCCTGCGACTGATGCCATCATCTCAAAAAAATATATATGTACAGTATAATTTAGTTATTTCTTGGAGGGGGGCATAAAAGAATTAATCAATAGATTTTGAGGGAGAACCTCAGCCTTAAAACTCTTCACTTATGCCTGTTTAAGTCCCTGTGTTTAGACATGAAGGGAAAAAAGAGCTTGCAAACATTCCTGTTAATTATGTATTACAGCTGTCCTTCATAAACCTAATTACAGAGTGCTGAAAGGCAACGGGGGCAATTTGCATATGCGCATGAAAGACAAGACATATGCAAAATATGATTTTAATTAGCATTCTTTGATAGCGAGGGGTACAAATCAAACTGGCGTGTTGTGAGATTTTCATCTTTGCCTTTTTTATGGGATTATTCTCAGAGTGGCACCAGTGCAAAATAGTTAATGCCCTGTGGAGGCACCTGGCAGAGCCTGCTATTCTTTACACGCACATGCACAAACAGCAGTGTGTGTTAACTCTCGCAGACACGCACGACAAGAACGTGCACAACTCTAAATAATATGCATAACTGGAAATAGAGAATGCACACAAAGAGCGATAGCACATTGACAATTAGTTTTTCACCATGTGATTATCTAACACGCACAAAAAGCTGTAGACACACAAACACAAGAGGGCAGAAAAATGGTTATCCTTCCCCATAAAAAGACATCCACAAGTACCCAATCTCTCATGCACACACTAACACAGAGAAGGATCCCATATCTAAATGTTAAGGGGCCAAATCCATTTGTTTAAGGCAGTGTGTAATCAGCCCCCTGCCCACGGTGTGTGCGCTTCTTCTGCCATCCAGGTCAAGGCCTCAGCTTGTCGTCCCGCTGCCTTGGGCTGCATCATCAGCCCCAACCATCAGCCTCGATGGTTATTGTAACAAAGGGATACTTTAACATGCCATTCATCCATATCAATTCTCTTCCCCCTCATGAATTGAACTAATAAGGCTGTGCCTCTGCCCTCCAGGGATGCTCATAATATCCATTGCGGATATGAAAAGAATAAAAAAAATGAAAAGGCAGAAAGGAAGATGGAGACTCTGGCGTTCCACGTTCGACTTTCCCCTCAGACTAATCGGCGCGCCACAGCTCGTTAGGTCCGTGACGTGCCGGAGCTTTACCGATAAGCAGGGGAGACACGGCTCAATTACCCACAGTTACCATCTTTCTCTTTCTCTTCCCACCCGCCGCCTGACGATGAAGAGATAACATGTCAATATTTGATACAAACAACTTCATTTGCCTAATGGTGTTCCTGGATAGGCCCATCCAGAGGTCTGCAGGGTATGAAAGATCTAAGAAAAAGGCCTCAAGCAAGACTTTGCTTAGGAGAACTTTAACACTCCAACTGCAAAGTGTGCACGCCCATCAGGTTCGCTCATTAGGTGCTTACGTGGCATGCTGGGATGGAGCCAAGATATGCTGAGAATATCTCACAAAGTTATCCTAAACCTCTAACACTGTTTCTTGAAGTTTACAGTAAAAGGTTTGATTTTTACTTAAAGGGAACTTAAAAATGTGTCAAAGTAATGTATATGATATCCAACCACCCAGCCATCCATCCATCGCCCCATCCATCCATTCATAGATCCATCCATCCATAGATCATCCATCCATCCATCGCCCCATCCATCCATCCATCCATCCATCCATAGATCCATCCATCCATCCATCCATCAATAGATCCATCCATCCATCCATCCATAGATCCATCCATACATCCATCCATAGATCCATCCATACATCCATCCATAGATCCATCCATACATCCATAGATCCATCCATCCATACATCCATCCATAGATCCATCCATACATCCATAGATCCATCCATCTATCCATTCATCCATAGATCCATCCATCCATTCATTCATAGATCCATCCATCCATAGATCCATCCATCCATCCATCCATCCATCCATTCATAGATCCATCCATCCATCCATCCATCCATCCATCCATCCATCCATCCATCCATCCATCCATCCATCCATCCATCGTCAGC